ACTAACGGAAGGCGAGGAAAAAACTTACTATAGATTAAAACACACATCATTATAAAATCAATAAATTCATCGCTTCAATCAAAATCTGAAATTTTGAATAATTATATATGAAGAAAAAAGTGAGCCGTCGCGGGACGCCTGGCAAATGTGAAACATAAAACGTTGTTTAAGTAGTTCTCTGTGTAGTTCTCTATATTTTCGCTAACGCTCTTTTTTACGAGCACTCTTCATGTCTACACTAAAATTGTGAAAATTGAAACGAAAAGTTGAATAAAAATTAGTTTATTATCAGAGCAATGAAGATAGTTATAAAATGTTACTTTTCACTCTAATGTTCGTTATGCGGTACGTGTTCTGTACTATTAAAATCTGAACAGCTTGTCGTAGGTTGGAAAGGTACATTTTGTTTACTTTTCCTTCTTTCTGCTTTAAGTTGTTTTAGTACTTCACGGTGCTGTTCCCTGTATCGTTGTTGCCGACCTTTTTTACTAAGAGCACTGTTATAAATTTATAATATACGTATTATATATATATAATATAATATAATATAATATAATATAAAACAGTTTATATAAATAATATATTATAATATATTTATATCATATATAATATAATATATTTAATATATTTAATATATCGATTAAGAATTATTAAACAAAAGTATTTTTTTCAACACGCACATGCACATAGCGTTTTATTATACGCGATTGCCCATGACGTGTTAGATTTTTCTAACAATATATTTTTATATAATTCCATTGAAAAATGAATTCTATTTTTTCACAAATTATATTTATAACATTTTAAACTGGCCTTAATAATATCTACTAATCAAATTTTTAGTATAACCGCTTCAACAATAACAAGCGTCCATTTAGATTTTAGATCATTGAGTTAAGTTACTATCTATAGCACCACGATAAGCACCATTCAAATACCACTTATCACATTTCGTTTACTAACCAATTAAGTCATAAACATAATTTATAACTAATATCTATTAATCTAATTAGTATTTTACTTCTTCACTATCTTGTAATATAAAGACGAAGTTATACAGAGATCATTCTTATTAAAATAAACGAACTAACCTTTGGCTCGAATCAGTAAATGGTGAATCGGGATATACATCAAAAGCACATGACGGAGACATTTCACTCCGACCTGCATTTTGGTTAACTTGAAATTTAACTTTTTTTTCTGGCGGCGGTGCACTGTCTCGTTCCGTTATATTTGTAATATATTCACTTTTACTGTCACTCATATTAATTTTCATTAGAAAATATATATCGTTATTACAACGGTCCGTTCAAAACAACATAATATACAATATACATAGACATAACAATATAATCAACGTAATAATGTAATATACAAACAATTTATTTATACGCAACAACATAGATGTACATATTATACGTTTATAAATCGTATAAAAATAGATAAGCCGATACTGCGCACATAGAGAGGAAATCGCCGAGCTTCGGAGAATTGAGAATTTTGTGGTGGGAGAACACACAGTTGCGTATCGCGAAGTTGATATCATACCTATTTATTTTGTCATGGCTACGGCGTGGCGACGCGTCGCCACGCCACGGTCGGTCTCACTACTGTAGCGCAAGATGTTTCACATCAAAAATATTGATTACACATATTTTGTGATAATAGGAATTTGAGTGGGAATTTATTAGAAATGGATTAATAGTTATCTATAGCAATAAACATATAGTCTCGGACAGTTGTGTACTCAGGATTTTTCAATGGAGGGAGGGGGCTTGAAAATTAGTTACAATTCTATTTTTATTTTGTCCAGTATAATGATTTCAGACGTTTATTTGAGGTATTATAAAATGTATGTAACCTCTCAACTTTTCTGGTAGAAAAATTCTCTAATCATAAACTTCGATGCGTTTTTGGAAGCAAATTGGATTTAGTTTTTACTTTTAGGAGGTCAAAATTGAAAATGCTCAGTGCATTTTAAAATAATTGGAGAAAACAATTATTAATATTGTTTGGTAACCACTTTGGTTATACTGTCCTCACTTGGATTGTATTTGATTAATAAAATTTTTTTTTTCTAAATATGTCAATAAAAATTTATTTCGTAATAAGTGGTTTATGCTTTTTTCGAAAAACTACAGATCATTTTAGGAAAATTGGTATGCAAATACAATGTTTTTTCAAAAATGAATTCATTTTGGTAAGACTTATATGAAATTTATGTATTGATATTATTATTATTATTGACAGTTGAAACTTGATAAATATATTTTTTGTATAGTAATAATAATACGAGTGATGGGGAAGGGGGCTTCAGCCCGTTATCCCCCCCTGCGTACGCCAATGGTCATGGACATCAATAATTTATTTTCTTTCTTGACTCAATGTTCTGAAAACCTTATAATACGGTTTTGCTTCTCGTGCGGAACCACCCATTTTCCAATACTTAAGTGGAACCTTTTTTAAAAAATTTAAATCTGTAGCTATTGTAAAACAGGGTGAATAGAAACACTTTTTAACTTTGAAGTATCATAAAAACTTTTCTATTTGTACTTTATCGATGATCAATACATCAAAATACTGGTATTTTTAAGTACCTACTTTAACTTATGTTCAGTCAAAATATTTGTATTATTAACAGATTATTTTATATAATTTTTTAAATGCTCAATTTCTGAAAATGATGTAAATATGACTTTATTATAGTTGAATAGGAAATATATGTTTGAGTAAGGAATTATTTTATTATTTTTGTAGTTCTATCAAGGAGAAAAAACACAAAAAAGATTATTTGCTTTAATATTTTATATGAACATTTTCAGAAAAAAACAGGGGGATTATCTATATAATAGGTAGTTAAAAATATTGATGTCTATTTTCTATACAAGGCATCCAAGACATCCAAACAAAATAAAAAATACATAATATACCGAACATGTTAAAGTGCGTTTACCACACAATTAGTAATTATAAGTGGTAATGATAGAAGGGCGTTCAAGAATCTAAAATATAATGCATACCACGACTACCGGTGACCCGTCAAAATATCTCCATTAAAAATATCTCCGTCAAAATATCTCTACCGAAATATCTCCAGTATAAAATATCTCCGTCAAAATGATCTCCAATACAAAATATCTTCCGATTTATATTTATATTTATCAATTTTTTGTTCCATCGTATAAAACCGTTTTTCCGCCATCACCTTCATTATGTTTTCTTCGGGATATACTGTAGGTAGTGTACCTGCCACGTTCTGCATTATAAAAAACTGAAGACTGGCTTCGAACGCGTTTAATCTGGACTTTATGCTAGCCGTAATTTCACCAATTGGTGTACATAAGTTCCCGGAGACGCCACGAATTGTAATGTTTGCCACTTTATAGGATAACCAAGTTTCGTAGCTAATTTTAACAAATTTTTAAGGCATATTTAGGTAATAGTACGTTAACGCACATGTACGTAACACAAACCAATGTCACGCAGTGTCAGTGTGTGACACAGTTCCGGCTCTCTCGTCTAAATTTTTATCATCAAAATGTCAAATAAAATTACCTATCTGCAACTTAATCTGTATTGGTAAGTGCCAAGCGGACCATGATAGGGAAGTACAAAGTACACTCACTATCAGCGTCAATAACATTTTCTCTATCAGATAGCTATGGCATAAATCGGGAGATATTTTGTATTGGAGATCATTTTGACGGAGATATTTTATACTGGAGATATTTTGGTAGAGATATTTTGACGAAGATATTTTTAATGGAGATATTTTCTCGTATAACCACGACTACCTACTATCAGTTTGAATGATAATAATATAATTCACATAATATGTTTAAGCCATGAAGACTAAAATATTTTGTGTTTAAGCACTATGTTAAAGCATTTTAATGATAAGCTTTACCAAATTATCAACATGCCTACTATATATGAAGCATAGACCTATAACCACAGAATAATAACTAGTTTATTTTTCTATTCATATATGAAGGTGTATCCGGGATCAACCGATTTCAACGTTATCATTTTTAAAAACACTATTTTGTTCCTCTTGAACAATTTGAATTATGTGGTAAGCTCGCTTTTTACAAAACACCATCGATTTGGTCTCCTAATCAAACTACTATAGCATTTGATAGATATCCGAATAAAAATAGTTTATACCAAATATGTGATCACATTTATGAATTATTAATACTAATTAAAATATAGAAAATTATACAAACAATATCCAATTGTTGTTCCAATAATCTTTTTTTTAATCATATTTTAAATAAGATAATTCATACAATCTGTAAATACATTTTTTTTATCAACAATAAGTGTATGAGTGGATTGTACACTATATAAATGTAGCATAAATTAATTGATATAAATGGTTCCGTGAGGATTTATCCATTAAGATATATATTAATATATATTAATATATTTATCATAAATCAGTTTTTTTTTTTTATTAGACTCACAGACAGTGACTACTATTTTATTTTGTAATTTAATTACATTTTTTGGTAAAAAAGTTTAAAAATGTAATTTTTTATTTTTGAAACAATTAAATATAGCCATTTTGTGAAGTTTAATTTTCTGAAAACTTTGATGATTCAACATTTTATTTTTATTAATCTCATGATTTTTTTAATTTATAAGTAAAACTACAAAAAAAACAGTTTATATCTGGGAAATGAGTCCTCACGGAACAACCTGTATAGGTTGATGAATTGGTAGAACCCAAGACAAGTGCTTACATATCAATATAATAATATTATAAGCTAAGGAAAATCTGGTACTACTTATTTTTCTAGGCTAGGTTACCTATTAATAACATTTTTATTTTTATGATAACTTTTATAGGTAGCACTTAATAAATAAAATATTATAACTGCATTCAACATTTCAAATAAATACAAATAATTATAAATATATTTTATTTGGCTTGATTAAGATAGTTATTGTACTTTTGATTCCAGGTAAGAAGCACCCTGGACGACTTATTGGAGATGAAATTAAATAATATTAAAAAATCTTACATTAAAACTCATCAGAAATTCTTAAATACAACTAACCCCAACTACCTTTTACAATTGATTAATTCATCAACCGAGTGCCATTCATCTTTTATCAAAGATAAAGAACAATATTATAGAAATATTTCATCAAATAGATCAACATTAAATGCCTATTCTGTATTCGAAAATATGGAGAAAGAAATTGTAAGTAACATGTACAAAAATATAGTATCTAGTCTGGGTGGCTTAAATGATTATAAAAATGAAATTAATGTACAAGTAATGTTGCACAAACAATTTACACGTTGCTACTTCGAATTCATCAGGAATACGTTAAGAGATTTTGTGCCAAACCGTATTAACCATAAATTGATTAACTTTGTTCTGAAAAAATTTGATAACAAATTAAAGGCAGATGTGTTTATGCCATTTATCAACAATCAGCCTTCTGGTAGAATGCTTGTTGAAAAAGTAGGTGTTGCAGAAGAAAGACAACGTAAAGAGCAATTGTTAAATGCTGTTAATAAAGCTTTTAAAAGTTTGAATGAAATTCAAAGGCAATGAGTTTCATTTTTTTCAATTAGAATTTTTTTTAATATTTCATAAGATAAGTAAAAAATGTGTTAAATAAAAGGTCTTTATTCATATTAAACTAATGGATTAATATAAATATTTTGTATTAATTATTAGGTTACCTACCAAGTACTATATCCTTCTTAAAGGTATTATTATTTATACTTTTTTTTCAAAATGTGTAACAAAAGGAAAATTATGCATACCAGCATTGATTATATAATACACAGATAAGCAATGCCATAGGAATATTCGTTGACAATTAATTTCTGGCAGCCACTACGGAGCGCTGTCGGCAACCGCTGGCAGCCGTTAGAAGCGCTGTCGGCATTCGATAACCGCTGGCAGTCGTTAGGAGCGCTGTCGGTTAACACTGATGGCTGACTGGCTGGTAGTCGTTATTCGTTGCTTAAAATATATTAAGAACAAACATATACGTAAACCACGTACTAACCGATAGAATGGATGATTTAAGTCCATTCTAATACAGATATTATATTATATAATAGCAAGATAACAGACTGCATTTGTATCAACGATACCACAAATCGCTAAACTAGACCGGTTTAAAATTATCCTACATTATCCCGCAGACGTATATACAGGGTGTAACAAAAAGAACTGATCGAAAAAAAAAATTGATAAAATTATATGATTAGTAAATAGTTTAAGAAATATACCCATGTTAGCAAATTGCCAAAAATAATACTTTTAAAAAAGTTATTGCGTTCCAAATTAATTGAATCAAAAAAATATTGATATTTAAAAAAAATTGTAAAAAAAAAAAAACTACTTGACTTAGATAAATGTTTTTACTATCCAAATCGTTCTTATAATCAGATTCACAAATTGGCTATTTTGAATTTAATCAAAAAAATTTAAATCAGTTTAAAAATTTTTTATTTTCGGTATTAAAAAATAAAAATATTAAAAATTTTAAAATATTGATTAGAACAAAAGTTATTCCAAAAGTCAGTTCTATCTGTTACACCTTGTATAGTAACTATCATAATATAGGTACATTATACAATCTCAATGAAAAATAATACTGTCATTGTGTTAATAAAAATTGAAACCGGAACTGAAATTAACTTTGGTTGGTCAATATAATATACCTAAATGTACAGAAGACTAGTTGCATCTTGATTTCACTCGTGGATTATTGTTCTGCTTATACATTTTGTTTGCCAATGAATTTTAGAATTTCTTATTGTACCTAAATTTATTATTTTTTATTACATTTTGTTTGCCGATAAATTTTAGAATTTCTTATTGTACCTAAATTTCTTATTTTTTATTTAAATTTTTAAATTCATTATTTAAATAACATGCCTGGTACAAAATGTCAATATGTGGGATGTTTAAAAACCACTGTAAAGTTTCCCCAACTGCATATGTTTCGTTTCCCAAAGAACGAAGCACAACAAGAAACATGGTTAATGAATTGCGGTAAGCTCCAAAATAATATTTTTTTCAATTATTACATTTTAATATACACTTAAAATAAAATTATAGGAAACACACAATTATTGTCACTTGACAAATCCCAATTGTACAATCGTTACATTTGTCAGGAGCATTTTGGACCAGATTCATTCATGAATTCTGAAAAAAAAAAATTAAAGCCACTTTCTGTACCATTAAATTTCAACTCTGATGAGCGTCCAAGTGGGTCAATTGGTAAATATATTTTATATTTAAAAGGTTTTGGGTAATAATTAATTAAACAATAAATTACAATATATAATATAGGTAATGTTTACATAAAATAATATAATATTCTAAACAAAAATAATTAAAATACAAAAAAAAAAAATTCCTCACATTAACTATTTTTTTTAGGAAATGATAATATAATACCCTCTGATTTCATGTTGACTCCAACAAAATGCTTGACTCCAACTAAAACGTATGCCAATATAAAGAATAATTCAGAAGGTGAAATACTATTTTCAAGTCCACCGTTAAATATTTTTACACCAACACAAAGATGTAGAATCAACAATTTAATTGAAATGCCAAGCCCTACTTCTATTAGAAAACGTAACCTTCAAGATGATTTAGATTCACCAATAAAAAAAAAATTAAAAACAAAATTGATAAATAGCACTAGAAAGTTGCATAGTAAGGTTACCATTATTTCAAAAATGAAAAAAAAAATAGTTACATTAAAAACAAGAAACACATTACATAATATACTACACTCACATAAATTTCCATCCAAAAACTCAAAAGCACTAGTCACAATGCAACTGAAAAGTAAAAAACGCCCATGGACAGAGGACGAAAAGAACTTTGCTCTTTCTTTATTTTATAAATCGCCAGCCGCATATAAATTTTTAAGACTTCAAAAAGTAAATTTACCAGCTCCTTCCACAATCCGTAATTGGATTGGAGAATCTAAATTTTTACCAGGCTTTAACAGATCATTTTTAGAACATATAAAAAAAAAATTTGAAGCTAAAAGTTACAAAGAAAAGGCATGTAGTGTTTTATTTGATGAAATTTCCATCAAAGAGTTTTTGGAATATTCTAAACAATACGACTTTGTAGAAGGTTTTGAGGATATTGGTAAAATTGGAAGAGGAAATAAAACTGCCAATACAGCACTTGTTTTTATGGTTAGAGGCATATATTCATCTTGGAAATTTCCTATTGCTTATTTCCTAGCTCATTCTGCGGTGAAATCTAAAACGTTGAAAACATTAATAGTTGATGTTATAAAAGAACTAATAGGTGTAGGACTTTGTCCAAAATTAACAGTCTGTGACCAAGGAACGAACAACCAAAGTGCTCTTAAATTATTGAATGTAAGTGAAGATAAGCCTTATTTTTTTATAGATGAAAATAAAATATTTGCCATTTTTGATGTCCCCCATCTTGTTAAGAGCATCAGGAACAATTTAATAGGTAGTGTTTTTAAAAAAGATGACAAAGAAATTTCTTATACTGATATAATTGATACTTATCAAGTGGACAAAAAAAATAAAAAAAGTAGGGCTCTATTAAAAATAACTGATGCACATATATTCCCTAATTCTTTCCAAAAAATGAGGGTAAAATTTGCCACTCAAGTATTTAGCCATTCAATGGCATCAACAATGCGGACGTGTATACAAACAAAACAATTACAAAATAAAAACGCACAAGATACAGCAGATTTCGTAGACTTCATGAACAAACTTTTTGATTGCTTGAATAGTAGAACTCTTCTAAGTAATAATCCATATAATTGTGCTCTTTCGGATGTGGGAAAAGTGAAACCTTTTTTAATGAAAGCTTCAACATATTTCACAAATATGCATAAATATAAAAAAGGAAAGATGTCTCGTCCTCCCTGTTTCAATGGAATTACACAAACCATTAATGGAATATTGAATCTATTTGAAGAAGAAAAACAAAATGGTATTTTGTTTTTACTTACCAACCGCTTCAATCAGGACATTTTAGAAAATCTCTTTAGTATTTTCCGTCAAAAAGGGGGGTACAACAAAAATCCTACTGCTAGGACTTTGAGAACATCGTTTCGAAGTAATTGTATTTTTTCATTGGTCACTTCAAAAGGAACTAACTGCAAAGCAAATATAGAAGATTTGGATGAAATTCAGTTGCAAGAACAGGTTAGCTTAGTCGTTGAATTACCTCCTCAAGATCCACTATCATCATCATCATCATCATCGTCTTCACCAACACCATCAACATTATCGTCACCTACGCCATCATCATTATCATTGTTGACATCAACATCTTTAAATAATATAGAAATTAAAGAAGAAGAACCGATAACATTAGAAGATTGTTCAGTATTATACTTTGCAGGATATTTGGCTCATAGATGTATTGCACAATTTAACTGTACAAATTGTATCAATTATCTGTTGACAAACAAAAACATTGACGATAAAAACCAATTATTATTATTAAACAAAAATTATACTTATTTAGAAATTCAAAACGATATAGGATTGAAAGCACCATCAAAAGATTTTAATAATATAATAAATAAAGCTCTTACTATTTTTGAAGATAAAATTAAAAATATTTTACATAAAAAAAAAATAAAATCAAAATTGATGTCAATTTTTTATAAGGATTTTGTTATTAATAAATGGATTGATGATGAAAATATAATGTGTAAAGAACATAAAATATTTATTTTAGAAAAACTTTTGATATGCAAAATTTTTAAAACAGCTAAATTATTTTCAACAACATCAACCCAGACAAAAATAGCTAAATTAAAAATTTTAAATCATATTTAATCCAATTTTATTTTCATAAATAGTTTTTAAATTTATATTTTTATTAATTTTGACAAATTGATATATTAATTATGTGTATTATATAATCAATGATTATACCTATAAACTATTGAATTTTATATTTTAATTGAAACATTATTATTATTAACATAACAGTATTATAACGTTTAGTGAATTTTTCTTACTTACCTCTCAATTTTATTTATATTACCTGTTATTACTATTATTTTATACATTACAATATTATGACATTTATGGAGTTATCACATGAACAATTTATTAATATTTAATGATTCAATAAAATTTAATGGACCAATTTATTATTATTTGATTATTAATTTTTTAAGCTACCTATTCTATTAGCTCACTATTGATTCATTAAAATATGTTTAGTAATTGTTCATGCAACCCAGCATTAGTGTAGATATTATTTGTTAACCTACTAAATTGTATTTACATTTATATAAATTGTTGACAATTTTAGGACAAATTGTATTTTATATGTTAAAAAAATTTTTATTATAATTTAAATGAAATAATTAATTTGATTCAAATATACAAAATATAGGTACCTATATATAGTGAATAGTGATTCACTCACCTTATACAAGAAAATTCCATTCAATAACTCACTATTGATGTATTGATTTATGTTCTTTAATGTTCAAGTTACAACAGTCTACAGAATATGAGTATTTCCTATTTAGTTTATAAATTATATTTTGAAGA